CCCCCCCACCGTTGGTGGCTCATCTGGCAGATTCTCTTCTGGGGACTTCGGGAAGTGGATGGCTCCCAAGTCCTCTGTGGACCTGGTCACTGTGAATTTACTGTGCTCTTGTCTGGAGCAATAACTGTCAACACCACTCCCAGGCCCATTGTTTGACTCCCGGCGTCGCTGGAGTTTTCTGCACCCCACTCCTGCCTCCCCACCCCCCACATTCTGGTGGTGGCTTGCTGGGCTGCCCACCTGCCCCTTTGTGTTTTCCCCCTAAGCATGTGAGCTTCTGTGTGTGAGTCTGCTCACGTGGGGGTCCCTGAGTGGGAGATAGGCAGTCAGATCCTGAGCTATGGTAGGCTTTATTAATGAAGCAACTTGAGGACATATTTGCACGAGGGCAGGGGGTCCGCCGGGATGCAAGGCTGTGGCTCCTTGTGACCGTTGGGATCTGCTCAAGAGCCATCTGAATCTCCCAGCACTTGAACCTGGAAGGGAGACACATGTGGGTCAAGACATCAGGGGTCTCTTGCATGTTGACCAGTAACAGAGTTGGGCTTTGGCACATTTGGGCCAGTCATCTAAGGAGGTGGTGTGTGTCCATACATGTGTGCACATGTGTCTCTACTGTGTGTGCACATGTGTGTGGGCATACATGTGTCTATGCTGGGTATGTGCACACTTGTGTGGGTGCATATGTGTCTCTATCGTGTGTGCAGGCATGTGTGGATGTACACGTGGTTCTACCGTGTACATGTGCCTGTCCATGTTCATGAGGGGGTCTGCAAGAGGAGCAGGTTAGGGTGTTCTCAGGTTCTCCTCTGCTGGCGGGAGCAGGTAGAGGTCTGGGGGACTGTGAGATCCTACACAGGGGTAAGCCCTCGGGATGGGGTGTCGGCTCCAAGTCTCACCAACAGGTTGACCAGCTCTTCTTTGTGCTTCGGCTGCAGGCCATCGATGCACGATTTCAGTTCATTCATTGCTGCCTTGGCGTCTTGGTTGACATTGTACTTGCTCAGGGGCCCCTCATAGAGTTCTTCTGGGGACCCCACCAGCAGTGTTTGTAGAAAATCCATGAAAAACTCGTTGTCATTCTCCCCTTTGGCCAGCCCTGACACGGGGTGAGAGATGTCGAAGACAGGACCCAACGTCAGCCTCTGTGCTGACCTTCCCTAGAGCCTGATGTCCCTCCAGGATGCCTTACCTCACCTTTCCACGGACCTCTCCTCATCCCCTCCCCTGGTCCCCTGAGGAAGGAAGGTCGAGGCATCCCTGGCTGTGGTTGGAATCTCACCTGATCCAGGTGCTCTGACCTGGACCTGGAGGGCCAGGGTCAGGGCTGAGGCTGGGGACTGGGCTGGTATTGACCCTGGATTCAGGCCAAGGGTGAGTCTATGGGTGGTTGGTGATGGGAAGCAGGGCAGTGTGGGTGCCCACTGCCCAGATCTCAGCTGCCCAGTCCCCTTCCCACACACATGGGATGTGCTGGAAGCCCTGGGTCAGCCCAGCACACCACAGACTCACCGCAGACGCAGAGCAAGGCTAGGGCTGCCAGCAGGAAGGCAGAGCTGCCCTTCATGGCGTGATGTGGCCACAGCTGTGGAGCAGCCTCAGCAGGGCTCCAGGGTTTTATGCCTCAGTGGGTGGCGCCTGCCCCTGTGGGCTTGTTGCCCCGCCCCACCGTGCAGCACCTACAGGTGAGGGCTGGGGAGGCAGCCAAGGGCACGTCCTCTCCCTGACCCTGTGGTATGTGGTAGTCAATGGGTGCAGAGTTGCTTAGAGTGAAATTGGGGGTGGGCTCTAAGATGGCAGTGGTGGGTACAGGGATGCAGAGACATGGGGTAGGCTTGAGGATGGTGGGTGGGCATGAAAATAAGGGGTGGGAGGGAGCTGGGGAGTGCAGAGATAGGGTACCCACACCCGGCTCCAGGGTCTGGAGGTCAAAGGTTCTGGGGTCCACTAGGGCCTGGCCAGGTTCTCAGCCTTCGGAGGCACCCTATGGGGCTGTGACATAGTTGCTGGCAGAAGGGGCACATGCCAGGTGGAGGCTTTGAGTGGGCGCGTTGTCCAGGGCATGGACGTTCATGGACTGTGGGGCCTAGCTGTTGTGACCTACTTCAGAGAATGAGGAGGGGCCACTCTGTGGCCACATGAGCATGGTCAAGTCCATTTCAGTTTAAGGTCCAAGACCTTTAGTGAGGCTTAAACTCACTGTAGACAGGAGGCTGGAACCCTAGCCCCTCAAACCAAATTTGCCCCAAGAGCTGCCTTTACTGGGGTGGTTGAGGCCTCTGCTGTCCCTGACTGCCACCTGGTGGCCAGGGGTGACCCACTAGACTCAATCGCTTCTGCTTAGAAGAATGGATGCCCCTTCCCATTACCCTCATTGCCTTGACCCACCCCCAGATCCTTCCTCTTTACCCCAGTTCAGGACTTGTCAGCAACACCTCTTGACAGTGGCCGCCCATCCCCCAGGCACGAACCCCTCACTAACATGAAATGAACTGTAAAGGTGATGGGACTTACATCCACTCATAGTGACCCGAACGACAGAGTCCAACTGGCCCATAGGGGTTTCTAGGCTCTAATCTTTCTGGGAGGGGCCTGGTGTGGCTCTGTAGGACAAACACTTGACCACAAGGTTGGTTTGAATCACAAGGTCGGCATTCAAACTCATCAGCCGCCCCTCGGAAACCCTATACAGGGTCAGCGTGAGTCTGAATGACTCGATAGGTCTTCATAGCAACAGTCTTTCTGGCTCAGCCCAGACTGCTGTGATCCACAACATCTGTGGTCCTGAAATCTTTCAGATGACTCCCACGGCCCACCTCACCATTTACTCTTTTCCTCTCTATTAACAAAATTTAATAGCCAATTTCATTTTACTTTTTAATTAATTTAATTATCTTTAACTTTAATCTTATTGTATTGAATTTAATTTTTTCTGATATTCAATATAACTTTATTAATACGCTTTTATTTAACATCCAATTTTACTGCATTCCATATACTTCATCTAATATCTAATTTTAAAGGAACCCATTTAAAATGAGATAAGCTAAGAAGCTCTGGTAGCGTAATGGTTACGAAATGGGCTGCGAACTGCAAGGTCAGCTTTTCGAAACTACCAGCTGCTCTGCGGGAGAAAGAGGAGGCTTTCTGCTCCCATAAAGATTAACAGCCTTGGAAACCCTGTTCAGGGTCGCTATGGGTTGGAACCGACTCCACGACACTTAACAACAACAATAAGAAGTAGTGTATTATTGGCTCTGTAAGCTAAGCACTGTACTGCAAACCACAAGGTCAACAGTTAGAAGTCATCAGCTGCTCTGTGGGAGAAAGATGAGGCTTTTTGCTTCTGCAAAGATTTATAGCCTCAGAAACTCTATACAGGGTCGCTATGAATCAGAACTGACTCCATGGCATATAACTACCACCACCTCCATACTATTCACGAACTGGTCAACACACAGCATGTGGCTGGGCATTGCACCTGCAGTGAGGCAGTGTGGGAACAGAGAACTAGGGATGTCCAAGTAATTTTGATGATTTTCTGGGATAGTCATCAAAAGGTCTCTTGAAATCCTTTCTTCCTCAGAATAAGAAGACAAATGATGGCTTCTTTAGAATGGAGCTATTCTAAGAGGGTTCCTTACACATAAACCATTATCTCTAAGGGTTTGTTGTTGTTGTGAAGTGTCATTGAGTCGGTTCTGACTCTTAGCAACCCCTTTGTCCAACAGAATGAAACACTGCCCGGTCCTGAGTTACCCTCACAAGTTCTGTTACACTTGCCTGTTGTTGGTACTACTGAGTCCATCCATCTCATTAGAGTCTTCCTCATTGTCGCTGGCCCTCCACTTTACCAACCATGAGGTCCTTCTCCAAGGACTGGTCCCTCCTAATAATGTGTCCGAAGTATGAGAGACGAAGTCTGGCCATCTTGGCTTCTAAGGAGCATTCTGGCTGTACTTCTTCCAATACACATGTGTTTGTTCTTCTGGAAGTCCATGGTACCTTTAATATTCTTTTTCAAAATCATCAATCAAATGCATCAATAAGGTCTTCCTTAGTCATTGTCCAACTTTCACATGTATATGAGGTTATTGAAAATACCATGGCTTGGGTCAGGCACACCTTAGTCCTCAAACTGATATCTTTGCTCTTCAACACTTTAAAGAGGTCTTGTGCAGCAGATTTGCCTTATGCAGTACGGCATTTGATTTCTTGACTGCTGCTTACATGAGTGTTGAAAGTGGATCTGAGTAAAATGAAGTCTTTAACAACTTCAGTCTTTCTCTGTTTATCTTAATGTTATTTACTGGTCCAGTGGTAAGGATTTTTGTTTTCTTTACATTGAGGTGCAACCCATACTAAGACTATGGTCTTTGATCTTCATCAGTAAGTATTTTAAGTCCTCTCCATTTTACAATTGAATTGAAGAGGTCCAAGAGCTGAACAGAAAATTTCAAAGATCACCTCGAGAAGATAAAACCAAATACTATAATAAAATATGCAAAGATTTGGAGTCAGAAAACCAAAAAGGAAGAACAC